ATATTTCTTTTACTTGAATTTTATATGCTTTGGTTGAGATTTCTATGTTGATGTTAAATCTTTTAAGCTTTTTTTTTGTTAAAAGAATTGACTCTAGAGTGCATATTTTGTGTTCATGAAAAAACTATTAAAGAAAATATTACAATATTAAAGAACTGTTCTTGTTAATTTGATGAAAACATTTTAAATTTCCAGTGCACTCACATCAGAATAACTTTTAGATTTGTGATTAGAATAATCGATTAATCGAAAAAGTAATCGTTAGATTAATCGATTAGAAAATAATCGTTTGGTACAGCACTAATAAAAACCCCTAAGACTCCTGTAGAAATCTATAGAAAATGTATACAGCACATAGGAACCTATAAGACACATTTTAGGAATCTACAGTGAACATAAAAAGCAGATATGGGAACCTATGACAGCCTTAACCCCTTAAGATTCAGACCTAAAATACCATTAAAAAACCAAATGTGTCAAACGGAACGTGGGCATTTCGGTGGAAGTTAACAGGAACGTACAGGAAATGTAAAAAGCACCTATAGGAACTTATGTAAGAAACCTTTAGGAATTTACAGGGAAAGTATTAAGCACATAGGAACCTATAAGACAGCTTTAAGGGACCTACAGGGAAGTATAAATTATGTTTGTGAATCTATAAGTAACCCACAAGGTAAAAAGAAACCTGTTGACACCTATAAGAATCTACCCCAACTTAAATAACTTTATAAAGAATAAAGCACCTATAGGAGCTTATAAGTATTATTAAAAGGAACCTACAAGGTACGTATTAGGAACCTTTTATACAACAATAGTAACACCTATAAGGAGCCAATAAGTATTATTAAAGGGAACCTACAAGGTATCTATTGGAAACCTTTAGATAACATTAAGGCCCCTATAGCAAAACCTATAAGGAACCAATACAAAGTCTATAAGAACCCTAGAAGGATTTATTAAGGCACTTATTAGGGACCTATAAGGAAGAGGCAGGCAGGGAGATGAAAGCTGTGTGAAACCAGGACATGAACAGAGCCAGGAACTAAATAAGGGGGCCAACGTTTGAACACGGTGCCACGACAGACCGTTTTATTCAGCTGCCAGGAGCTTTTTAGGATCCGTTTTATCTGCTCTGCCTCCTCATCCACCCTCATGCCCGCCCCCTCTGGATGGTGCTCCAGATGATTTGGGTCCAGTTTGGCTTCACTCGAGCCAGCCTCTAAAAGCAGACACACTCTGCCTCGCTCTCTGCAATCAGCCGGGCCGTCTGGTGTTTGAGAGCTCTTAAACCTCTTTTCTGCCTGAAGGGGTTTGTTCTCATTTAGGGGAAAAGGTCCCTTCAGGTTTAATAATAACTTTAAAATACACTTTACTTTTTCATTTTAGTCTCTTTATGTGTGTGTTGTTGTATTTATTTTTTTTTTTTTACTCTGGGCGTAGGTGAAAAATCGCATATCACGTGGTAACAAAACATAATACAGCTAGTTCTGGTATTCACCTGGTTTTTACCTACAGGGAAGTCAATTGATTATATTATAAAATGACTTGTTATCTTGTACTTAATGAGTATATACTCAGTATAATTGCAAGATACGTACCTGCTGCTGATAACATACAAAACTGGTACACACAGAGTACCTGGTACTTCCTAGGCACATGCCTAGCACTTACAGTGTACAAACCTGTTAACTACCTGGCACTTACCAGGATCATACCAGTTATGTATCTGGTACTGATAACTTACATACCTAGAACACAAAAGATAGGTACCTGGTACGTCCTAGTTATATACCTGGTATGCGCTGGTTATGTGTCAGGTACTAAATAAGTATTAACTTGTTATGTATATGGTAATTACCAGGTCAGTACTTGTTATGTACCTGGTAAAGCCTAGGTATGTACAAGTTATGTACCTGGTACTTATGGAAACTTGCTTAATCTGTATAAACCTGTTACATGCCCTTAAGTACTTGGTAGGTTTCAAGTATGCACCATGTAGTCATATCCAGGTAAGTACCAAATAAATACCAGATAAGCTCATAGCTACTTGATAAGTACACATACCGAGTAAGYACTCAGTGAGAAGTAAGTAAAGTAAAGTAAAGTTTTATTTATGTAGCCCCTTTCATAGAAATAGATTCACAAGGTGCTGTACAATCAGGGAACCTGGTACATTCCTAATAAGTATCAGATACCAGGTAGGTTCTGGGTAAGTCTCAAATGCCTACCTGGTAGATAGCAAATGAGTACCCAATACTACCTGATAAGTATCAGGTATGTATCTGGTAAATATCAAGCTGTATTTTGTATTTTTACCCTTCATGTCTTAGAYATCCAACCTCTCTTTTTAGGGATCATAAGATCCTCATTTCATTCTTCTGAATGTCTTAGATAAAGAATCC